ATTTTGTTTCCAAATTTTCTTGCCACGTCATCGATGTTTTGCTTTCCGTTACCCGTAATTTTTAGTCTCTCCTGCAGTGTTCTTGCTTCACATAGGAGATCATCTAGGGCCCCAGTCTGCCACATTGTCAATCTTCTCTTCATTGCTGCCACATTTTCTTTGTGCTTAGCCTTTGTGTGTGTCCTCTGACAAAATAGATGTGGTATTATTGCCAGTATTTGAAGAGCTAGGGGGGCGAGGAAGCGGTCCTGAGTGTAATTAGTCATGAAGCGAGTCATCTCCCGAATCATTTCTTTGGTAGCCGCACACTTGGGTGGTTCAAATAAGTTAGCGGGCGACCACTTGACAATTTCTGAGTAGGTTTCTTTGACCCATACGCCTGCATTTTCCATCGACATGCCATTCCACTGAGGCGGCTGTCTCTCATTCTCCTCGTGGACACCTGCTACTGAGGGAGCAGCATTATTAGTACTACATTTTCGGGTTGAGTAGACTCACTGCTATCATTTCGGATATCATCGGGTGGTTGGGTCCCGGCGATATCCACTGTGGCCGCCTGTGTCGGCTCCCTGCGACGTGGGTTCCGACACTGGTCTCGCTTCCTGCAATCCACACATGGTCGGTTGTTTCTCGCACAAACACAATTTGTGCAGTTTTGGTTCGGGCTAGCACAGACGCAACAATGAATGTTACCAGGCATAGTGAACAGCACCTTGGGCAACAGATACTTCCGCCTCCGCCCTCTGCTATTGGGCCCATTCGGACGAAGAAACTAGATCTTATGCGTATGGGGCACAGATGTGACGGCCTGGCCTGCGGTGTCCGAGTAGTAGGGGCATACGCGCGCGTGTGGTTGTGTCGGGCACCCCCCATGTGGGCGATAATCCACACATGAGAATAGTCCACTGGGAGCAAGAATTGTCACACCTAACACTTGTTTATGTAACTTTGGCAGAGATAGTCACCATTTCTATGGTCTCGCTGATGTAACATTAGTTATATATACTCACTTGGCCGTTACTTGAGGTGGGGGGGCGACCGAAAGCCGAGGCACTTGGCCCCATAGGGGCGAGAGTCGCGATGCCACCCTTGCTAAAGTAGGCCTATCGACACACTGGCACTGACACTTGGCAACTCCAGCCACTCACCATTCAAACACTCACAGGCTTACTTGAAGATCGCCGGTGAACACGCGCAATATTTGCGTTTAATGTGGTAAACTACTACTACTACTACTATACTACTACTACTCCTACTTAATTGTCAGTTGATATCGAGTATGTCAATAATCCAACGATGACAGTAAGGCCAATGGAAGTCATGCACATGTCACGGCGTTGTTCTCTACCACAGGTTTTGTACCTCTTGTATCAAAAAGGACTACCAACTTCCATTATCATTATCATGGGAACACTGTCCATACTGAACGTGTTCAACGCCTATGCTCCCTCAGATCAGCTTCACTACACAGATCTCTTCTTATATACTGAACCCATTGTCCTATTTTAGGACCTGAGCACTAGACATAAGATTGACCCCACCATTAATACCAATGGAAGGAGACATATTTAATTATTAAGCTCATATGAAGATGTTCAAATCATTGTTGATAGCGAGCCTTCACTGATCTTATATCTGATTACAAACCAATCCCAACCAGTATATATGTAGCCAATGCCACCCCCCATTGGTGGAAAACTTAACAAACGTAGACTCACAGTCAAGAAAGAATATAAAAAACATTTTTGAGACTTCATTTATGACTGGTACAAGGATTACAAGCCTAACAATTACCAAAATCTCTTCACCAACAATGTCTTCTATAACCAGGAAGACTGGTGAGGATTACAAATAACACAGGACTCCTCAAATGTTAAAACTGTTTCAAGCTTCGCTTACTGCAGTCCGGGAGGGCGCGAATGAACTTAGACAAAATACATGGGGAAAATATGTCAACAGCCTGAACCAACACACACCCCTTAGCAAAGCCTAGAGAGACATAAACACAATCAGAGGTAAACACAGTAGGCACGAATCCCATCCAAAAACGCTACAAAAATATAATGACCTAATAATGAAGTGGATTCATGTCTTTAAGCATAACATGTTACCAACTAGGAATCGAGAGCACCTTGATGCCTAGTCTGTAGAACGAAGTAATCTCATCAACTTTATGCTGAGCAAACAACACGATGAGTGAATGTTCCATATACTAGGTGGGAGCTTAATGCTGCTCTCCTTAAGGATAGATCCACTGCTCCTGGTAAGGACGAAGTCACCTTCAATATTGTAAGACTACTAAGGCGTGTGCTGACTCACTCTATTAATGGCATTGTACAATATGAGTCATGCCGAAGGCCAACTACCCACATCCTGGACCAAAACCAAAGCTGGAACACCCTGATGCCTTTGGTCCCATATCACTAACTATCTGCCTTTGTAAGACTTTTGAAAGGATGGATCTCGGAAGACAATCATAAAAGCGTACATAATTGCATCACCACATACCTAACAGTGCATGGGAATGAAAGACACATATACACCACATTTCTTTACCAAAAAGCTGCAGTTCATATTACCAATAAGCAAATTATATTGTGCAAACTAGAAAAATGAATACAGGAGGTCGGCTGTATAACTGGATAAGTGGTTACCTCACAAACAGAAAAGTAGCTGCACTGTTTCAGGGTTACAAAAGTGACGTCAAAGATATGCAACTTGGTACCCCCAAAGGTGGAGTTCAATGCTCTTATGAATGCATTATTAAAGTCAATCCCAGACAGCCCCAGCAATATTAGTGTCAGCTATGCAAATAACATTCTTATATATATGTTAAAACCACTGTGCAAACCACTGTGAACCATGTACGTACAGTCAGCCTGTGAGAACCTTAATCTCATCATCTCCACTGAGAAAATTAAAGTATTCAACAAACAAGCTGGTAACCACAAACGACGTCTATCCAAACTATCAAAACTTAAATATCTCGGTGTCTCTATCTCCTCTGCAATACCTCACCTGACTCACTGTACAACAGCTAACCCGCCAATGTACTGAGAGGTTAAAACCCCTTAAATGTGTAGCTGGGTACAACCCACAATGTACCTAGGATATATAAGATCTGTGATAGATTACCTCACACTAGCCTTGGTCCTTCGTGACGGGAGAGGCATTGACAAACTCAAAAAGACGCAAAATAAAGCTCTTAGAATAAACTTAGGCTGTCCCATGAACACCAAAGTACTCAATATGAGGAAAGAACTAGGAATACCCAGTGTCAAAAACAGAATACAGTAACTGGGACCAAGCTCATGATAGCCCATACAACATTGCTTCTAGGAAAGTGCTAAATTATATGAGTCATGAAACTGGTGAATTTAAATAGATCCAAACTACTGCTACACATATGAGAATGTTTGGACAATACAATCTGTACATGGTTGATACACCAAAGAGCTCTTGAACACATACATAACCTATGAACTGAAAATAGCATCACACAGACCATCTACACCAGTGGTTCTCAACCTTGTTTGCCCCATGCACCCCTTTCACCATATGTCAGAATGTCATTCTCCCCTCCTTTCCAAGATTGTCTGCCTCAAAAAGTGCATTCCAAATAATATGCATATAATACTGAAAATCCTTTATTTTTCCATATTAGTATCAGTTTCCCCCCCCCCCCTGAAAACCTGAGGGGGGAAATTCCCCCCTGGTTGAGAACCCCTGATCTACACTGTCTGTGGAAGGCCTGGAAGTGCTGTCATTGTGACTCAACCTAACGGTAATATAATAGAAAACGGAGCTAGAATTAATAACTGGGCATTCACTCAAAAAACTGAACCATTTGCCATACTCACAGCCCAGAAACTTGCTGAAGACACTACCACTGGCAGTCTCAAAATCACTACCCGCTCTTGATACCCTAAACTGAGATTGTCACCCACTTGTTGACGAGGTATTAGGGTCAAGCTACTGTGGATCCCCTCTCACATACGCGTCAGTCAACACGATAAAGTTAATGCCTTAGATAAACTCGCGTCCAATATATACAATGTTGAATAAAATCTAGGACTGTCAAACAGAACCATAAAAACTGTAATCAGAAAAGAACTTGATGAATTTGAAGCAAGTAGATAAATGCAAAGAGGCTTTAGTCAACCCACTATTTACCATGATAAGATGTATCAAGTAATACATGTCTATGAAGCAAGTAACAAAATCACTAGATAATAATACTTATCACCGCTAGACTAAGGTTAAGATTTATTGCATTTCCCCGGCAGTATGCCCCACAAACAGATGTGAACAACTCTAAATGTAAAGTGTGCAGTCAGACACAAGGCTACACATTCCAACACTACATCATAGTTCGAAAAAAAAAATAAAAAAATCTTATGAGGATAGATATGCGATGGCACAGCACTTTATCTGTGATGTGAAGATACCTGATATACTAAGGCTGTATCCACACTTCGCATCTAGCACCAAATAAAAATTCTATGTACCGATTAAAACAAACAATGTACTGGGAATTGTAACACTCAATGCCATAATATCATGACCAAAGGGGTCTGATAAACACCCTTTGTGGCCTCTACTCTCTAATCCTTTTGCGCTACCATTCACAGGATAAGTATGGAGTACACAATAAACTAGCTGCTGTGCACGGCAAATTAAAATTTAATCCACACATACATACATACATACATACATACATACATACATACATACATAAAAAAGCATACACACACACACACTAACCAACTTGTGATAAAATGTTGGCTTTCGTCGGTACTGGAGGCAGGTGTTCATAGCCCAGGTAGTTGACCTTCCTAGATGAAGGCGATACACAAATGTCAAGTGGCAGAACAATTTAACCCTTACATTACTACACTGGCTTCGGGTGGATGATGATATATTTAACCTTATCACTTGTTATAGAAAATAAAAGTTCAATCCAGGTAATGGTAAAAGTTTTTTTAACATGTCTGCTGTATACTTAACTTTGTATAAATAATACTTACAGCATTTTTCTCCGGCTGAGCATTTGCCGCCTTTAACCTTGCCATGAGAGCATTTTGAGTAGCATACTCCTCCGACGTCGGTGCAAGACTTCTTTTTCGGCTTTGTACCATATTTGCCATCTCTTATTTGCTCTTCACTTTTTTCTTTCGGCTCCATTTTCTTATTGTTCCTCCTCATTTGCTGCTGCCTTTCCCTCTGAGACTTTTGCCTGTGGAGTCTCGATTTCTCGATCTCTGCAGAAATAACATATTATAGAGTTTATCGATTTGGAAAAACATAAGTTTTAGCTCAATGAGAGCTAAACTTTACCAAATTTTACAGTCACAGGTTTTCGCTGTCATTCTCATAAAAATAATCTTCTGGTGGATTTATTGAATGTCCATGGTCAAATTGCCTTTCTGCTTACCTGCACCATCTAAGTATAACGCATGCCGGCTTTGTTTATATTGTACACACGTGCTAAGGTATGCCTGTCGTCTAAAAAATGCCAACCCAGCTGTAAACTGCACTATTATTTTACTCAATAATAATAATAATAATAATAATAATAATAATAATAATAATAATAATAATAATAATAATAATAATAATAATATTAATAATAATAATAATAATAATAATAATAATAATAATAATAATAATTAATAATAATAATAATAATAATAATAATAATAATAATAATAATAATAATAATAATAATAATAATAATAATAATAATAATAATAATAATAATATAATAATAATGATGATGATGATGATGATGATGATTATTATTATTACATTAGCACTTACTATTTCTTGAAGGAGTAATGCAGCAGACTTCATCTTCCTCCTCGCAGTCTGCTGCAGATGGTTTAACTTCACATTCCTCTTTACTCACACAATTCCCACCAGCATCTTCACACGCATTGTCACCACTCTGCATCAAAACATATTAACACCTCACTTATCACTTGCATAGAAAGATAACGTTATCATTCTCATAGTTTTCTATCATAAATGAGAGCTAAGTTATTGTAGCCAAATTATGCACACTGTTACAGTACTTTCTTTTCCTCATATATCCGCGTTTTAACTTTACAATGGGTTAATATTTTGCTCTGGGTTGGGTGGTGTGTATAATATGGACACGAAGTAGTACCTTAAGCTGTGTATTCTTATATTACTCTATTAATTATGTATAGTAAAGTATTCCAGAATATGTATTAATTCTATGTAATATTTCCATTTATTATGCACCATGTTATGTATGTGAATTATCATATTTACATATTATGTATTCAGCTTGTGAATGCTGGCAACTGTACATGCCAGCGCGGAGTGATACAGACAGTGAAGATCACCAGTCCTTGAGGTGTGGAAGCGCTCTGTCTTATTTGTGCCTCTGTATATCTCCCGTACGAGAATAAGAACCTATTTTCAAGATAACAAGTGTTTGTGTATACCCTCAGTATTGTAGAACATTTTAGGGGTATCAAAGACAAACATAGATGGTGTGTACGCGATTTATGATCAAGTAATGAATTACCCAAATTAATTTTAGGAATATATAGAAAAGAGTGGATGTAAGAGGTAAATGAAGAATACGTAGCCAATGGACAAATCGGGTATTATTGCTATAACCTATACATGAAATTAGTGTATTGAAAATATTAATGCTTTCTATCTCTCTTTCATAGTAAGCCGCCTTACTCTACATAAAGACTAATTCGTTGTCAAATGGTTGGATTATCCACGAATAGTGATCAAATCCTGTAACGTTCCTCCAGCTCAGATTTATATGAAAAACAAAATCATATATACATCCCACAACCCATGATCATATTATATAATCCTCACGAAATAAAGAAACGTGTGTTTGATATCTATAGCTTTTAAAATGTACAAAAATTACCCATACCCATCGGGGCTCTCTCCTGACTCCCGCACGATTTTTATCTTCAAGACAGTTCTTTTATAGACAGACAGACAGACAGACACACAACAGATAGATAGATCGATAGAAGGATAGATAGATAGATAGATAGATAGATAGAAGTCGACAGTGGAAACCACCTAGTAGCCCGGTTAGCTTAACAGAAGATGAGCAAGATTTATATAATTTGGCTAATTTGGTATTGTTCAACGAGTTACTAAATGTTCTTGAAGTACTGAAGATACAATTCACAAAGAAAGGAAAGGTAAACTTTACATTTCCTTTGTGTTAGTCAAAGGACTCTTCTACAGATGAATCTTAGCACCGCCTCCATTATTAACACAACAAATAGTTTAACTCTCCTTCTCAGTGTATTCTTCTCAACTTTTGGATCTTCTAAACTTGGAAAACTTATCATTCGTTAATAACACCACATTCGAAGGTTTCCTACCTCTATCTGGTGTCTGCTGAAAGTGTCCACGCTTCTGTCCTTGTCATATAAAGTCCCTCGGGAGCCTCTTTCTCAATTTGAAGTTAATATATATTTTCATTGGACCTTTTAAATTGTTAAATGCTGTTTTTGCTTTCCCTATTATCGTGTTGATTACTTCCGTACATCTACCATCACAGCCATTACTACATGCTAATTTAATCAACTTCTGTGAAATATTAGCCTATTATTAGACACACAGATCGACAGGAGCTAAGTATATTTTCAGGTGAGCACCTAGATAAAATATCAACAGCCAGTTAGATATCCAATATCACATTTCAAGATATCTTCAATAGTGATGGAGAAGAAAGACGGAGTATTCTGAAGACATTGAACATTACCTCGATAACAGTTTGATGAGGATAATGAACTTACGTCTAATTTATGTAAATCGTGTATGTGATCCTTACTTAGGACCGTAGACCTGACATACACCAGAGAAATGTTGCGTTGCTGGTGTTTTACTACCAAAGACTTCACTCACTAACCTGAACTGAGGTGGAGAAAACTGCCACCAGCAGAACTATTACCAGCGTTCTCAGTGTTAACGCCATCATCGTGGGTTTACAGCCAACTGTGTCCCTACTCCGTCACTGTACCTTTTAAGGACAGACGTGAACGAATAGCACATGCGCAGATTCGATAGAAAAAAAAAATATACAGGTGTGCAGCAAACGGTACAGGGTAAATGAACTTTGTGTATGTTGAGAGGCAAAATTCACTGGCACTGTAATTCTATTATACTAGTAATTGAGTCAACGACCGTAACGGTTATTGACTCATGGTGTTGCTGCGGAAGGAAAATACAGACAAAATCTGTGTTTGTATACATTTGTGTATTTAAGATATATACTCCAGTGTATTCTATTCTTAGTAAACTGAGAATTTATTGACTTTGCCTTGATAATAAGAGGTATAAATTGGGCGTTGATTATGGGTGTTTACATTATTCTTTCCTTAACGGGAAAATGTCACCAGAATGTAGTACTATAACAGTTTCTTAGAGCATTTAACCACATGATCCATATACATAAAGGAGAAGATGTAAGTCAACAATTACTGATAAAATTAACAACAAAGCAATAAATAAAATATAGCAACAAAGAAACAAGAATACCTTATATATTAATAATAAACTTGTAAAAGCCATGCTTAATTAATTTGTTCCATAGTTTACCTCCTATTGCAACATTCACCTTTATCTCATTTTTCACTTTATGCCTCTTATATAACATTCAGTTGTCACGTAAAACTCTGGTCTTCCCTGTTGTATTATACAAGTCGCATAAGTCTTGTTGTATAAATGATCTTGTTATATATCCTATTGTACAATAAACTAGTTATATATTATCCTGTTGTGTAATAGTTTTATATACCAGGTTGTATAATGATCTTTTCATAACTCCTGGTGTATAACGAACTTGTTATATACTGTATTTTATTGTAAAAATAATTTGCTATGCCTCCTATTGCATATGGAACTTGTTATGTTTTCTGTTGTATCATACACTTTTGATATCTCCGGTGGTTTGTCAAGTAATTGTAATATTTCCCTCCTCCTACAGTACATAATTCAAATATTGTGCTTGTTGTTTTACATGATGCACTTCTTATCAAAGTTCATCATGTCATGCACATACCATACGTCACACGCTTCTTAAGTTCTACTTATATCAGAATAATTTATTTTTTTCCTTTAATATCATTTCCTTTAATATTATTAGTCATCGAAAACTACCTGAGACGTCGCAACAGTTGCGCGTGATAACTGGACAATGCGCAGTGCTAAAAGGACCAGTGGACATCAGCATCAAGCTAGGAGGGGAAGAAGATACCCTACAGGTTTTTGCAGCGGATATCGAAGACCCTTGCATCCTAGGTCTGGACTACCTCTTACCTCGCAAGTATCAACTGGACATTGGCTCGATGCAGTTGACAATAAGAGGAAAGCGGGTACCGCTGAAAACTGTGAAGCATACAGGTGCTACGGTTACAGCTACGCGGACAGTAGTTATTCCCACAAAATTAGAAGTGCGGTTTCCACGCAAGGTGAACGGTGCCTTGCATACCCGTCCGGGAATAGTGATGCCTGATTGTCAGCAGAGTTACAAGAAAAGGGCAGTTCCTAAGAAGTGTAGTCGCACTACAGTGGAGGAGGTTCCAGCCGTTGTTGGGGAAGGCCTTAAGACACTGAAGCTGGAAGACTAAGACCTGCGATCAGTGGTCGAGTGGATGAACCAGAGCTCAGTGCAGCAAGTCAGACAACTAAAAACTACTGGACGCAGTGGAAATTGTAATGGATTGGGAACATCTTCGAGAAATCATACCACCTGTGTCTGATGTTCAAGACGCTGAATTACTGTCCAAGAGCCTTGATTCCATTAGAATGCCGGACAGGACGAGATGGAGCACCATTTCCAGTGGGGACTCAACTCGGATGGACTGTAAAAGGTCCTATGGCCCATGAAAATATACTACTCTTGCTGACATGGGCTCAACACCGACTGTCCCCCTGCTGAGACACATTTAGAGGCACAAGTAAGGCGCGTTGGGAATTGGAGATTACAAAAAAAAATATATATATATATATATACTGTATATATACCTATACAAGTATATATATATATATATATATATATATATATATATATATATATATATATATATATATATATATATATATATATATATATATATATATATAATTGATGCGCCAGTGTCGCTGGAGGACAAAAGAGTAGTCCAGGCCTGGTCATCAATAAGTCCGATGATAAATGGACACTGCCGGTTTCCCATTCTATTCCGGCGAAAACCACCTAACCTACCGGACAACAGATCACTTGATGTCGGGCGTCTGAATAGTCTGAGAAAACGCCTCTTAAGAAATGCAGAGCTGAAATCAAGATATGTTGCAGAAATTGGACAGGTGATCACTAAGGGCTTCGAGGAGAAGGTGCCAAAGGGGGAACTAACAGCAATTCCTGGAAGAACTTGGCCCCTGCCTCATCATCCAATACTAAATCCAAACAAACCAGAGAAGACTAGCATTGTTTTCGATTGTGCTGCAACATTTGTCAGTGTGTCACTAAACAACGAGATACTTAAAGGACCAGACTTTAACAACAAACTCTTTGGAGTCCTCATTAGATTTTGTCGGGACCCCCAACTGCCTACCGAATGGCACTGCATATCTTTGGAAGGGTGTGCTACTTATGCATTGAAGAGAACTTTCCGGGATTATGATTTAGAATTCTCTGTAGCGACCACCAAAGCTAGAGAGAGCTTTACGTGAATGACTTGCTTGTGTCTGGTACTGATACTGAAGAAGCAATCTCCATGGCACATCAGCTGCAAGAACTCTTGCTAAGAGTGGGATTCAAGCTTACAAAATGGATAAGTAATCACAAAGGAGTACTCAGCACTAGGGAGTGACAGTTTGGCAAACGTTTTCAAAATCTAATTGCTTGGGTTGGATTATTTGTCTATCGGCCACGCTAATTCCGAATATGTTTGAGTTTTTTACATCATTGCATTATAAGGTTTGTGGATACTTTTGGGTTTGGCATGAAAAACGCGAAAAAACTGTAAATAATAAAGGGACTGGCAATGTGGCACAACCTGTTAAAATCAAGTTATTGAATTGGATTATTCGACTACTGTGTACACTGGTTCATAATATGCTATTGTTTTACAACTCAATGCGCTACAAATTATGCCGATATTTTTGCTGCAAGTCACCACATACGTATATTTCGAAAACCAGGGCCCAATATTACCAACGGCGTGGATAGATTCCGTGGAATGAATTCAGGACATTCCCGCTCATGGAACATTACCAAACTCCGTATATGTGCCAATGGCAGGCCAATGGCAATATTTACAGAGTTTGTTGAGGCTCCCTGGACGGGAATGCCCTGAATTTATTCCACGGAATCTATTCACGCCGTTGGTAATATTCGTCCCAGGACTGATCAACGAATTCAGCCCAAGTAGCTTGACTTGGACAGTTAAGGACAAAATCTCAGTCCGTACTTTTGAATAAAATATTGTTCAATAGGTGGTGATATTGAAGTGCTGAAAGTTGTTTTTTCTGTGTTGTTTTGCAGTTAGTTCAAAGGGCCGCCACCAAGATGGGTCGTCCTAAGATTAGCAACACTCAGCTGCGCCAGGGTAACGATAAGGTGTTCGGGGTTCGGATGCCTCTGCCATCTAACAAGTTGCCTCTGAACAAGGAAGTTGGAAGTGCCCTGGTTTATGAAGCAGAAAACGAGAGGTTAAGGAGAAGAACAAATGCTTTTGATTATATGGATGCCACCAACAAGGTGACTGAGAAGGTACTGGATGTGTATAGGAAGGCCACTGTCCCCACTATCTCTGAAATCAGGGTGAAAATGAGAGTCCACGACCTGTGGAGGATGCGGAGGGAGACGATGATGATGAAGGGAAATGGACAGAAACAGAAAAGGAAGAAAACGAAGAACGGGAAGCTGAAGATGAGGTTCGAGGATATAGCTGAGAAGTTGTTTGATGTGGCAGACGACAGCAAAGTGCACGAACGAGAGAAAAGCTTCCTGGCAGCCCAGAGGAAACCGGGAAGGGAGGGCTGCATTGATGGCGTTGACAAAATTGTGACTGCCAAGCTGAAAGAAGAGAGGGAGAAGGAAGCGAAGAGGGCAAAGAAAAGGGCTGAGGAAGAGAGGAAAACTGAGAAGATGAGGTCAAAGAGTAAGGAGGAGATGGAGAGGATGTCGTGTAAAGTGTCGGCAGTGGATGACAGTGCTCAGGAAGAAGATAGTGATTATAAGGATGTCAATGACAATGAGTTCAAGGCTATGGTCGACAGGAGAGCAAGATCAGAGAAAAGGAAAAGGGAGAAAGAAGCCGAGGACAGGATCGGAGAAACTGCTGACAGGTTCAAGGAATCCAATGATGCAGTGGCTCACATCGCAAACACCATCAGAGCTGCAGACAACATCATAACTGAAGGGGACAAGTCTAAAGTGGCTAACTGGAAGAAAGTGGAGAGAGTCAGGAAGAGGTCACGAGAACAGAAAAAAGAAAAGTTCAGGGGATTCAAGGTCAGAGGTCTCATGGTAGATGAGAGGATCAATGAGAACAAGATAGTGACTGGTGTAGGTGAGAAGAACCACAAGAGATTCGCCATGGAAAAGAGGGAAGACTGTGCAGTGATCGGCTTCCCTGGTGAGGAGTTCCTTGGTCACCTGGTCCCGGTGGGGGGAAAGGGGGTAGACCTGGCCACCAGCCTGCTGGCCTTCCTGGAGGAGCGCGGTATTGACACCACCGACCTCCTGGTTGTCCTTAGCGACGGTTGCAACAAACTGAGTGGCTATAATCACGGTTTCATCGCCGAGTTTGAAAGGCTGTTGGGACGGCCTCTCCTCCACATCCACTGCCTGATCCACAGTCTGGAGAAGCTCTTCGGCCATCTATTCAACCATTACGCTGGCCCAACCACTGGTCCCGCCTCCTGGAGTGGTGAGGAGGCTCGGAAGCTGACCGGCAACGTGTGGGACCTTCCGGTGGTTGAATTCGAGGCCGTCACCAACACCTACCTCAGGTCTCTCCTGGATGCCAT